GGGACTTAGGCAGGGTGCTCACAGCAAAGCAACTTGATTGGACATTGGCGGCGCGCTTGGTACTTTGACATCAGCCCATTCGGGGCTCAGCAGGCTTGGTTTCATTACATTGTCGCTTGATAGCTTATCGATGCTTATCGACAGGCCTTCAGCACGGGTCTCCAAGACCTCATACAGCGCCGTCATCTCTGACAGTACCTCCGAATCGTTGGGGGGCAGGAAGATCTAAGTATACATGTGAGTGCATACATGTGCATACGTGTATGGACATTACTTGCAATTACATGTACCTACCCACCCACGCTCCCTACCTCCCTACCTGCCTGGCTGCCTACCTACCCACCTCCCTGCATGCATGTGAATAACATACATATCTACATATATATATAAGACAATATTATCACATTATTTACCTTTACATATCTATATACACATACGTATGTGCATAGTTTTACATGCATGCATAACTCAATGCCGACTTCGCGCGCAAAAGATTGAGGCTGAGGATTATTGATTGTAGGGTGCAGAAGACTCGCGAAGATCGAAATCCAAAGAACCAAAGAGCCAAAAGCTACTGATATTGAAAGCAAATCGCGACCCGCCTCCCAGGCCGTAATGCCACTTCCTCGGCATGTTCGGGCTTCTGGCTTTTTTAGAAGCAGCGTTTGTTGAAGATTTAATGCAGTCGCAATGTCCGGACGGAAGGGGCGATGACCGCCCGTTTGTGCCTAGGTCTCATTTAGCTTCATGTAGATGAACCTTTTTGCGTATCCATTTTGCACTGTCCACAAGTAACGCGGGAGTGTACTTGTTGTCCTGTGCAAGTTGAATGACCCGCAGCCTGGCGACAATGCGAGGGCTGCGATTGCAATAGCAGTGCCGTCTGTTGCTCAGACCAAGGACAACAAGTCTCCAACTCGAGTTTCAGGTAACCCCTTGGGTTTTCCTTTTCGTGGCCTGACATATGGCTTGCTGACTAACATTTCGTGTCATGGGTGCAGACTGCACGCCAGACATCTCTACCCTCCAGCAGCAGCCAGAAGACGGCTCGCGCTATATCTGTATCGACCTAGGACAAGCAACAGACACCTAACAAGCAAACCAGCAGCATATAGAATGAACAACTGGCTCACCGAACCCTTTACATACCCATAACAACATACGAGTATGTATGTGCATGCATGCATATGTCTGTGCGGCTGTAAGCCTACTCAAGTATGGCTGAAAGGCGTACACTGACATGCATAAACATATGAAGTAGGGTTAAAATTACCGTTCTGGTGAGTGTAGATTGGGCTCCTTTTGAATATTGGTGAGTGTATATATGGGTTCTATTATGGGGATACTAGTAATATAAACCATACTCCATATACGCACGTGTAAGGTACGTGGTTCGCACGAAGCCGCAATAGTTGACATAAAGCCATGAGCAACGCACCAACAATCATTAAATACTTATCTACATACATTGATCTGTGCAGCAAGCCAGTGCGTGATTCTATACGTATGCATGCATGGGTGTATATATGTACATATACGTATATACATTGACTTAGCCACTCGTCTCATTGACTGTGTAGATTTGCTGCCATGCGCTTCCGGGGCCCTGTCCTGTACTCACTGCATCGGCGCAACGCTGCGCCCCACGGAGGCAAAAGCGCAGAGCCTGAAGCAAAGTGCGGCAGGAGGAATGTGTTTTGTGCGTTCGCTGAAGACGCAGGTTTGTTTCTCCGCTCACGATAAAAAAACCCGGCCAATCATCTTCAGTACTTCGGATGCAGCTGCCGTTTAAAGTCCATGGGTCCTTTCGCAGTTCACGGGGCAGCCTGCAGCCCCAAACGCACTAAGCTAACTACTTACATCAAAAGCAGTCACAACCTGAGTACTCTGTACTAATTGGCAGCTCTGAGAGCCAAGCCCACTCGCGCAGGGCTTGCTTATCCTGCTCGTGGCAGTGTGCGGATGCACAGAGCGACAATGAACTGAATAACTTCAGCCTGCATGCCTGATCGCACAGATACCAGAAGGTGCAGTCTCCAAGCTCAACCCTTTCGAAATCTATATCTGCTTAAAATTCAGAGCTTGGCGAAGTCCTCCCGGCATCTGTGCATCTCTCCAGGCTGCTCAAGCCTCGGACGGAGTTGCTCCACTCCGAGACACTATACTAGTTTGGGGGGGGGGGGGGGGGGTCCCTTGTTATACATACAGTCAACTATAGCATAATGGTCCCCAAAAGTGTCGAGATTTCTGAGTTCTGGGGCATCGAGGCTTAGGGCCCTTAGAGCCCTTAGTCGTCTCAAGGCGTCCACTGTTGCCCTGGCCGAGCGTCGAACGAAGAGGGGTCCGACAGAAGCTCGCGAGCCTGGCTAGGCTGACTGATCAGGGGGACCCTTAGGGGGGTAGGGGGCGAGATAGGCCAGTCCTTATTGTAGGTATCAAGCCCCCCCCCTACCCCCCGCCCCCCCCCAGAGTCCTATGAAGTGACGGGGATGACTGCGACGAAAGCAACGGCAATACACTGCAATTCACAGCCTGACGACTTGTGCTGACAGCAGTGTCGCCCATAGTTATGCAGTGCTGCGGGCCTCCTGTATGCGGACGACTAGCGCACACTTTGGCTGGCTACTAAACGAGGTACCTTCTTGAGATGAGTTGGGAAAGCATGCCAGATCTATGATGAAACTCCTTACTACTCCGGATCCAAGGCTGGTATCGTCGGTTCGAGTGTTGAGGGTCATGCTCTCATCACTTTCACAACTCATCCCTTTACAATCACGGAGCCTTGCACCCCTGCGCCTGTGCCAGTCTGCATCATTACTTCTGGTGCGAGTTACTTCTTGCCGGCGCCACCGAAGATTCACGACACGAAGTCTCTACTCTCAAGCCACGAGAGTCGACCGTCCCGCCCGAGTCTCTACTGTAGGCCTTTAAGCCTGGAAGAAAGATGCACACGTGCAGCAAATTTAGTTCGTACGCAAACGCGGCACCACCTTCGTTCCACCGTATTGCGCGGCTTGCAATGCCATGATACCATGACCGATGCCATGTTGTCGCGAAAACTAGCACCATTAGACGCATCCACGCTGAGGCAGCAGCTACTCGGAGCCATGCGACGAACTGCGAGTCCGCCTGTCAACCAAACACAGCACCCGGAATGTCGCCATACTGCACTCTCCGATCAAGACCGTAACAGTAACAATGGCAGATGACGGGCGGAGCTATCGCAACCTTCAACGCATGATTCCAAATGTTGACGGCCAATGATACGACCACGTCTTGCTGCTCTGTTCCGGCTCCTACTCTTAATCCTACTCCTGCTGCCGCCGCCACTGCCAGTGCGATTGCCACTGTAACTGCTACTGCCAGCACCACATCTGCTGTACATCCCCATGCGTTATCAGACTGGTTCGACAAGCTATCCTGATGGGCTGGTGACACTTGAGCTTGGAGGTTTTGCATTAGAGGGATGTCACCGACAGCATTCTGCAGTGTGAAGGCAGTCCGAAGTTCCGAATATGTGTTCATGCACAATCCTGCGTAGCACCTCTCGTTGTGCAGTATTTGAAGCCTCGAGACCGCGAGCCGCCGAAACCGTGGTTCTTGCACATCACGTCTACTGCCACTACAGCTGATACCGTCAGTGGCACGACCGACTGCCACTGCCACTATCAGTACCACTGCCGCAACAACGACGGCTACGACGGCGACCCTCTCTCACAGGATTCGTGATGGCTAACTACCATGACCGCAGCTGCAAGGCTACGGCCTGCGACATAGTGGACTGTTGTAGCCGCTTCTTCCGAAAGAGAGTCCGGCTGCCTCCACTGCATCCATTGTCTGGGCGAGGAGGGGCGGCAGCTCCAACAAGGCCTTTTAGTATTAGGAGGGGACGTCGAGTGGGCTCAGAGGTCTCTGGAGCTTTCAAAGCCCTGCGAAGCGAGGCAGCGGCAGGGCCGCTTGCTCTCCTGCGGTTCTGGGCCGCATCTAGCTTTCAAGGTCTTCGTGGCTTCGGTCTGCAGGCGGTCCTTATGCCTGCAGATGACTGCTGGCTCAGCGTCTGAAGGCATGCCAGGGTCTGCAGCAGGCATTGAAACCTGGGAAAGTTCAAGACTGGAAAACGTCCGAGATGACAACATCGTGTCCCAGCCAGATCCACTGGTTGTTCTATTCGCTACACGGCAAGCTAAGCACGAGTGCATTCTTCGCATCGAAGCAGATCGGGTGGCAAACTCTCGCGAACGCCCTAAACTGTAAGGCTCTAAGGGACATGATGATTTCGAGTTTTCCTCGGATCTGGGTGTGAAGCCAGTGCTTGAATCGGCAGGCGGCCCCTGCCCCCGCGGAACGAACAGGGGGCCGGACGGGGCCCCGGTGCCGAGCCCGACAAAGGCCTCTGCAGGAAAGCTGCGGCACGCGGCCGCGGCCTTTCGGCGATCTGGGGCTCGCTTCTGGGCTAACTCAGGAGGTTAATGCTAGCTGTTAGAGGCTTCAGGTTCGCAACATCAGTGTTTTTGCTTGCTCGCGCGGCTCAGTTTGGACGGTGTTGAGTACTGCTAGCTTCCCAGCAGGGCTGCCGAATAGGGTCTGCATGTCATGCTGAAGCGATTCAACATCACCTGGAACCCCGTTTCCAAACCTTGCCCTGACGATGAGCCGATTGTTTGTGCTTGCAAGATGTAGTGTCTGCTGTAGAACCGCTGTAGTGTCCTCGTGTACCCAAGCAGGACTTTCAGCCGTCGCTCCCCACTACCCTCCGACGGCATCGCAAACAGGTGAGCAGCTAGGGCCTCGCAGACAGCTTTCAGCAAACTGGCCGACAGCTCCTGGCTCAGGTGAGAAGCCAAGCCTGCACTAGCTCACCAGGCTACCCGAAGAGAGTTGCCTCTTTTTCAATGCGTTTTCTGAAAAGTGCCCCCGAGCATGGCCTGCAAAAAAAGGGGTCCACTGAAGGCGTTGCCTTCGCAAAAGGCCGCAATATTGCTGGCATGAAGGACAGGAGCCGGCTGCTCGAAGAGCTTGCGAATGCACTCTTGACTGTTCTGGTGGTCGTCGCCGTCTCGAAGAACTGCCTTTGCCGCTCCGGATTTGTTCACCGGGACCTTGCGCCAGCCGGCACCGAACGCTGGTACCCGGGATATAGGACAGGATCGAGTCGGCACAAGCATTGCGTTCGGAACATTGTAGTACACAAGGCAGAGGCGGTTTGTAAGGTTCTCGATCAGCTGCAGGGGCTACACAGCTCGATTGATCAAAATCGTATAGTGCGTTGGGACAGCGCTCCGAGTAGAATCGGGCCGTGCCTATGTATGTTCTGCTGCAAGAGCATTGTTGAAGATCGGATAGCCCTGGTGTTTCCCGTTTCCTTACTTACTCATTCCGAGCCGGAAAGTTCGTCGGACCAACGCTACCCTTTGGCAGTGGCCAAGTTGAGCAAGACGAACTCGGGAGTGGGACCAGGATCATCCACAACAGTACCTGGCTCAGGGATGACCCTTGGAGATCCGCATGTCAGTCTTCCTTGCGATGCCGATAATGGCAATCTTGGGTGCGCATCCTTTCTGGAACTTGGCAGCCTCGCCCTCCAGTCGACGCACGACGGCAAGCAAGGCTTCACAACCGCACGATGCACCTGCATCTCTCGCATCTGAACCAGTGCATTCACAACTTGCACCAGCTTGCATCTCTATGGCATCAACCAGGGGCCATTCCTCCGGTTCACCGATGCACGGTACACAACAATGGTTTCCGGCAGGATGCCATCATTGCAGTCCACAAAAGCATTGAGCGCATCACGAAAGAGGCGCTGCAGTTCTACTGACAAGCTGGTTCTCCACCGCTGCACGGATCCCTTCTCCAACTCCGCTGCCATGGAGTATGACTGAGAGAACACCTTGTCCAAAGTCAGAGGTTCCGAGCCAAAGGGCCCCTTCGAAGGTGAGGTAGACATCAGTGCCAAAGATCATGAATCCGTGCCCGGACAACTTTGCAGCCAGCCATCTGGATGGCTAGCAGATGCCTGTGGTCCTCGGTCCAGAACCTGCCTTGCCACGTCGCTTCCTGAAATCCGTAAAGGTGTCCTCTGAATCCTTAGGGATGATTTGCCACACGGCCCCACAAAACTTCGCGTTGATCCGCTGGACCTTGCGGAGGATGGAGCCGATGGATTGATGCTTGCGGATGGGGTCGCTGTGCATAATCTGCGAGATGCAGGGATACGCTCGCATGCCACGTACTTGAAGGAATGGTACACCTTCCTCACGTCCTGGTTCGGGAGCAGCAGCCTCATCAACTGGGTGCCCCCGATAATGTACTCGATGATCTTTGACTGCAGTTCCCCGTGCTGGCCACTGCAGCAAACCTTCGTTGGCTCCTCCAGCCAGCAGCCGGATGCAACCCTCGCAACATCTCGCAGAGACCGCAACCAAATCTCCAATATCGACAGGATAAAGAGCACCACGTCGGCCAGTGATGTCGTCTGGAAGAACTGTCTCAATCGCAGTCCGAGCCGCCCCTTTTTTTTTCACTGGTACACGGGGCATTCTCAACAAATCGGCTCTTCCAAGCGTGCTCCGCTGAAACTCTTCTCTCCGCGCTCGGGGCACACACAGGACAATGAACGCTGTTCCTCAGAGACCGAGCAAAGCTGCCCTTCCTCAGTAGCATGGATCTCCTTTTCGTTGAAGCCCACCTGCAAAGTCTGTAGCTGTTTGGCTTCCCCCTCAAAAAGCTCTGCAGGTGTCCCAATCGAGCGTGTCAGGCAATTCGTTCTCCATGTCCTGGCCGTGACTCACAACCCTTTTGTGACTGCCCTGTGGGGAGACTTTGATCTGCGTCAAAAGCTCACTCAGGGGACTCTTCTCCTGGTGCATCTCGTCTGTCACACCCAAAGGGCAGCAAAACTCTGGCAACAAGAACACTTTCTCCTTGGCCTTTTCTGGATAGGCTTCCAAGAGCGGCTGGTCCTTGAAGGCGCCAGACTTGTCGTAGGTGTCCAAATACTCTGCATGACTAATTTCGACAAACTTCGTCCCTGTCACTCCCTCCTCGCTGATGATACGTGAAGGTGTGGAAAGTCGAAATGCGCTTGTTTTCTCCAGTCCACACAATGTGGAGGTTGTAGTTCTTCACAACGGTGGAGGACACACAGAAACGCGGCCTCTCATTGCCAGAAATGTCTGAAGGATATCTGTGCATTCCGTGGCACCTTTCAAGACTTCAGAAATGCTCTTGGCACTGGCCGGCTTGTGCAAGGCATCCATCCAGTTGCAGTAAGGGCCCAGCAATTCGCAGCCTGCCAACATTCGCGCAAAATCCGCTGATTACACTGTGGTGTCCTTCGAACTGTTGGCAGTCGTTCCTGTAAAAGCACTTGCAAATCCTCTGTATTCGGCGCTGCCCCGCTAGTTGGGCCGCAATGTACTGCCCAACTATAGAAGCCGAGCCCATGTACCCGTCTTGGATCTTCTGCTACTCTATGACGAGCACGGACTTGTTTCGAGCCGGGCCTGTACGCACTGATTTCGGCGACATGGCAAACATCCGGTTGCACAGGCTTGCCGTTCTCGTCTTTTACCTTCAACGGGAAGCCCTCCACCTTCGTGGGAGCAAAGATGCGGCCAGGCAGCCAACATGAACTAAATGTTTCGTCAAGTCTGACCATCCCCTCTCAAACAGCTTCCGCCCAGAATCTGGATAGGTCTGTGGATCCGGAAGATCATACTCATAGTGGTGGATGCTCTTGGTCCAGTTCATCCGAAAGCCGATTGACCCTCACTGGGAAGGTCTTCTCGGGATTCTTTCCGATAGCCTCTCTGGGCATCTCTTGTGCAGCTGTGATGCCATCTTGCTGGACAGCAGACCATCTGTCCTGGTACACTGCCACTCTGCAGCCGCAGAGATGGCGAAATCTACTGCCAGGCTACATGATTTTAAATATAGGGCTGCTAGCCGCAGCATTGAGCCACCGCAGCTAGAGTCGCCATGTATACCTCAAACTCTGTTATGGCTCGATGATCCCGCATTGATTACACTGTGGTCTGCACTGAGCTGTGTGCAGTCGTTCTTGTAAAATCGCTTGCCAATCCTCTGTATCCGGCGTGGCCACGCTAGCTGGTCCACAATGCACGGAACTACCACAGAAGCCGGACCCATGCGCCCATCTTGGATCCAAGACTTATTTGAGCCACGCGACTTCCGGTTGCACAGGCTTGGCGTTCTCGTTGCGCAGCTTCACTTGTCCAGGCTGGTGGGATGAGGTAATCGGTTAATTATTCCTATACTAGTATTGGTATTGGGGCCGTGATCTAGCTGGTGAGGTGTAGGGGGCAGTGTAGGAATAATCATCTAATGGGGGGGTCAGTGGTAGCCTGCATTGACACCCAAAACGAGCAAGGGTTCTGCTAACTCAACTTGCCCCCTCCGCGCGACCATCATCGTCATCATCGTCGTCATCATCATCATCATCAGCAGCATCATCATCGGCAGCAGCAGCAGCAGCAGCACTAAGATTGTCAGCAACTTTGCGAGGTGATGAGGGACAGTGTTGTAATTCTTGTGATGATGACGAAAAGCTTTCATTATTCCCCGTCGTACTATAGATTTGTAGAATGATATCTACATCGGCTGCGGCCAGGTGAAGCAGAAGAGAAAAAGCCATGCCATCAGCCGTGCGGGTTGCTGAGCGGTGTCTCTGGCAGCAGTCGCTGCAGTCAGAGTCGCAGCGGCAAGCCCCTGCAGAACCACGACGACACCGACGTTAAGACGACGATGTGACACCGCCACTCGTGCCGCTGGTAACCCCATTGCTACCATCGATGCCCATAGCCATGACGGCGGGCAGCTAATCTTAAAAAAATGATTGGTATTTTGTCATTGTGATCATTGCATTTACTAGGCAGCTGCGAGCCACCATCACGTTAGCAAACGTTGTCACTAGACCGTGATGACATCATCCTGGCATTCCAGCTGACACTCCATGTACCTCGATTTTCCTTCAAGTTTAATCGACCTCCCATGCCTGACCTCGGATTCGGCAGCCTCGGCACCCAGGGCAAGCCTGCTCTTGGAAAAGGCGGGACACGACAACATGAAGTCTTGGGCTCAGGAGGCTTGAGGCATCCGAGTCGGGGGCAGCTTTTGCAATGTTGGCTTTAGATTCAAGATTCACGTCTGTAGGTCAGGCTGAATGTCTCACCCCACAACAGGTTCTGAAGAACGTACGGAGCTTGCAAGTCACGCACTCCCGTCGGTGTGTCGCCAAAACACCCAAATAGACGGTCCAACAGTCTGGCCATGATTCGAAGAGCTTGTCTTACACATGGACAGCACGGATGTTTGGAAAGGGGGTAGTTCTCTCTGCTCCTTGTAACGGTAAGATATGCGGGTAGCAGCCAATGGAGAGGGCTTACTTCACTAATGCAGCTTCAATCCTCAAAGACGCAGGCACTCCGGTGCCTCCACAGAAGAACCAGCATGGTGCGCAGTAAATTCGACGGCACACCCTTGAAGCGAGTCACTTGAAACTGCAAAACCAAGTCATGATCGTCTTTATGGATAGGCAGGGGCCCGGATCACATGGCACGGAAATTCCAATCTCATCAATAAGCTTTCGACGCTGCAGCTTCGAGATGCAGTCTCCTCGCGAGTCTTACAGGACGGACAACTGCTGGCAATACTGATGAATTCGGGCGACATCGTCGGCAACTGCCCCGAGCTACAAAAGCGCGTGCCGTGTTCAGCATCCCTTGGTGTGTATGATGCGATCCGTAAGGCCTGGAGTCGCGTGCGTAACAGGGAGATGCGGCCGGACCAGTCCGTCGACTCTGCCAGCCTTGGCCGAGAACACTACTAGGCTTCTGTTGACTTCGGCTATCCGGGTGAGGCTCCTCTGGGCATTGGGGCTCCATAACTATAGCGGAACCACAACTGCAACACTCCTGTGCAAGGTGTCTCAAGCGCCGTGCTGGCTCCCTTTCGCAAGAAAGTCTCAAGGCGAGTGGGCCCCTAGCGGACCCAACCCACAAGCAGGCCTTCAATCAGACGCTAGGATTAGGAGCAGCAAAATCTTCTGGAACACATCCGGAACACCAAATGTTGGTTCTCCCCACCCAGATCTTCTGGATCTGATTTACGCTTAAGACACTCGTACTTCACGCAGCTCTCTGAACCACTGCTAATAAAGGCTGCCGCGAGTGTCTCAGGACGGAGCCAAGGGCCAGGTGACTGAGGTTGCGACCCAGCCACCAACTCCTCTATCGCCGCCTCGATGTCGGCCTCACAACTACAAGTCCGACCTTGCAAGCTTTGGGCCTAGCCTTCTGCTCCGCTGGGCGGGTAGATTCGAACTCCAGAAACCAGACCTACAACGGCTCACACCATCCTGTCGTGCCTCCAGCTCGGAAGCATCCCGGATTCCTGCGCTTGATTCTGAGATTCTTTCTTGGACAAACGTGATCCCCATGTCAGGCTGTGCCATGCTGCGAATCTTGCGGTCAATGCGTTGCCTTCTGGTGGTGGAGATTGAGCCTCCACCTCCGGGAACACGTGTGTGTTTCAAGTTCAAGTTTCATGCTTTGCAGGCCGGCAGACTCATTCTCGTCGAAGTCGGGATTTAGAAAGATGCCTACCATGGAAAAAGCCGACATGCTTTTAAGCAAAGAGGCATCATCTCTCCCACGCGTGCAAGCGAGAGCCTGGAGCTTTTCGTTCAAGCCAGCCCCGTGCATGGGGGAAAGGCAGATGCTCAAGAGATCAGCTTCGACTTGGCCATGCTAGGAATGCCAAACTATATAAGCTTCTGCGAAATTGCCCATGCTTCAAGCACGATGTAGGGGAGTCTACCATTAGTAACCACAGAAGGACACCCAATAACCCGAAACTGTAAACCATCAATGACCCAAAGCTGTCAGCATCCCTCTACTCTATCATATGCAAATCCTAATTCAGTGATTACTAGCTCATGTACTGACATCCTAGAACCTGGGTTAGTGCATTTCTTGCAAAGTTTCAGGTTTGGCAGAACGCCCAGATACTCTCGAACCGTGCGGGGAGACTTGGTTGGTACAAGATTGCGGCCGTACTCGTGCTCGTGGATCCTCCACTAACTGTACAAACTACTTCAGCCTGTGGTAAAACGTTCAGTCATCATCTGTCTTGTACACTGTCTCTGCGGCTAACCACTACCAGTCATGCTGAAGGATTGAGCTGATGTAGACTGTAGTGCACTTTCTCGCCCTAACCGGCCTAACCCTATCGGGCCGTCATGGCCGCTTCTGCAAAGCTTATGAGAAGCCCATATGACCGTATAGAAAAGAAATGATCTCGAGCGCTTGCTGCCCCAGGCTGGGCAAAGTCCCAGTAGCAACGAACGCAGTCTGATGCACTCTACTGCATGAAGGCTCAAGCTCGTCGCCAACTGCTGCAGCGACCTCGTACTACCCCACTCTTGCACTTAACGCAAGCGGCCGAGCCGGATGTTTTCGACTCTTGGCTTCTGCAAATGCTGGCACTTCGCTTCAGATGCTCTGAATCTCCATTTCGATGCCCAGCATCAACAGATGGCTTTCGGAAAAAAGAGCGAAAACTGGTCGGCACACGATGAAGCCTTCGGGAAGCACGTGTTATTGGGCTTCTGTGGGTTAGGCTCGGACACGCCCTGGATCTGTGCAGCCTCCTCGTGCATTTGGCGTTTAAGTTTCGTAGGACTCTTAGATGGTGCCTGCTGCATTCTTTCGTTGCTGAGTCGTACAGGTGCGCAATCGCTTCCATGCTTGCCGCAACTTTGGGACTGCAACTTTTGGGATCAAGTGCCCTCAGGTCAGAATTCCGATCTTGTTACTGGTTTACCGATTCCTCAGATTCACCATGTTTCAGCCTCAGACTTCGGAAGCTTCATCTGACATTGCGCTGCCGACCGCAGCCAGCAGCCCAATCACGAAGTTTCTTGCCTCTTAAAGGCCGCTCGGGGCGTTTTAGACTTGACTTTCGAGGCTCTTCAGTGTTCACATCGTGAACTGCTACTTCACACCCGGGTACACGACCCGGAGCCATCGACCCTCATCTCTGCCGGCCGCCCAAGACCCTAGGCCGGCTTCAACTCTGAAGCTTGAAGCTTGAAGCTCATCTGCACTGTGTCACCTCTCACGAAACCGGGTTTGACAAACTTGACTGGGCACACCCTGTCGAGTTTTGGCTTAGGTTTCGATGCAGCTAGCGGGCAATTTGGTGAGGTAAGAGCGTAGATTCTGCAACCTGAGACTTCGCAACCCAGAGGGAAGACGTGAACTCCACCCGCACCTGAAGGAGCGTCTTGCAGGAGAAGGGCTGTCTGCGACGTACCGTTTCTTATCCAACCTTGCCAAGTGTTCCGGCGGGCCAGGCCGCGCAGGGAGGTTCGTTGGTCGCAGCCCAACTGCTTGGCTCAGCCATGCTTTGGACTGACCGATAAAGCGGGACGCCCTGGAATCTTTGCAAAAGAGCCACCACAACGTCTTCGAAGGTGGGAATCCGCCGCAGTCGCGAATGCCGAAAATCGCAGCAAACGGCAAACTGTGTCGTGCGATGTTTTTGCAGGCCGCCGAGCAATCCTCAGCTTCGGCCCTGAATATCCCAAGTCCCAAGGCCGGTCTGCCACACTTACGGGGCATCTCCTGCAAAAGATTCTGGAAGTCTCGAAATGCATGCACCTTCGCATGCATTTCCCAGAACGCCCACACTGGGCCCCACGTGAAGAAGAACCCGCGGCTCGGGAAGCGAAGAGTGCTCTGAAGAGGCACGTCGTAGCTTCTGTGAGTGCTTGGCAGGAAGCGGGTGGGGCCGCAGTCTGGGCAGCTTGGAAAATGCAGCTTAATGAACTGGCTACTGCCTGGCAGCCGATGACACACCTCACAGAATGGCGCTGAGAGTGTCCTGTCCTGAAACTTAAGCGTGCCATGTCGATTCGGCATCACGCCTATATATACCATGTGACATCCTCCCTCCAACATCGTTATCCTGATTCTCATCATTCTTGCCGTCAGCACCATCAGCATGAAAATGATCACATTGCACCTCTTCATGCTCATGGTCCTAATCGCTGCCATACCCACGTCAACCTCAATATCCTGACTTACTCACAATCTTCATCTTGACTGCAATGATAAGGTTCACGACAATGATCACCGTCATGGCCACGACCAAGTCCACGATCATCGTCGCATCACTGCCATGACAACTATCCTAAATCTACGCACGCCTAGGCACGCATGGCCCATTCGAACTTCTCTTTCGTCCTCCTACTATCCCCTCTACCAAGTCTACGGACGATGCTAAGGAGACGAATAACGATTCCTCGCTTGACGGAGCCAGTCGCTCTGTGAGGGGTTTGTGACGACCCCACGAGCAAGGGGATCGTCTGCACGGCCCGCAGGCTTCAACCCTACACTAGACAAAACCTACCAATCTTCGCGACTGCATCCGCTCAAGGCATTTGTCTGCAGTGCGGTTGGCATGTCACTATAATTAGACCCATCATGAGCTGTAACTAAATCATCCAAAACAGTGCTCTTGCTGTGCGCTTTTCCAGGAAACCTCTGAAACAGCACCGCACTGGGATCTGATGGACGCACTTTGCTAATTGCGTGCACAGCGACGTCCATCAGCTGGCGAACGCACACTAGCATTGACAGAAATGGCAGCCATCGTTCATGGTTCCGGGAAGTGGGAGGAAGGTCATGCAACGACAGACGTTTCTGCAGATGTGGGGCGAAGTCGGCACTCTGAAGAAACACAGGTTGGGGTGGACGAAATGCCCCATGCATTCGAGAACGAACTGCAGAGATCACAATGTTTGCTTGCACAGCTCAGCAGTGGAGGCATCAATGATCTCCTGCACAGCTGCCAAGTGCTATGTTGGCTTGGAGCTTTCATCTACGGGAGTCCCGGCGCCATGAAATTGCCATGGCGGTAGGTCCACGCTGCTCCAGGTGGAAGACGCTAAGACTCTAAGCCTCTCTGAGGTTCTTGTCTTGACTCCGGAAGTATATAAATCCCAAATCCAGCAAGTCGCGGCTGCCTGCAGCTGGCCAAAGAAGGCCGGGTCGGCCTTCCAGGAGCTTCGGCACTTTTATATGAGCTGCAGTCCCGGAAGAAGATCTTTAGCAATTCTGGATCGGGGCAATGAAGGAGCTAAGGGCTTCTTATCTGCCGACTGCAGAGTCGCAGAACGTCCGCTGCAAAGCCGCACCTCTATGTCTGCGTTGAAAGGCAGATCGTCCTCAGCTTCACGCAACCGACCAAGTGCTTGAGAGATTTGGAGTTACGCTTGTGATTGCCTTGGCCCTCCGAGACCGGCACCCAGCTGCTGCAAACCTGGTCTTTGATGGTCTTGAGAGTGTTCGTGAAGACGTCGGCCTGCACACACGGAGCCCTTCGAGTTGTGGGTGCCGACACTGAGATTCTGAAAGAGCGGAGATTTGGATTCAGAAGATCCCGGATGAAGAGATAATAGCCCCGAAATTCCAATCAAGCGATCGGACAGGTCAAGCAAATGCCAAGTTGGGTCTGCACGTTGGATCCTTTCCAAATATCCGAAACCCTGAACCTCGCTTATAGAATCTGGATATGCCTCAACGCCCTAGGCCCCGAACAGATAATAGGTCGGGCGTACCAGGCTCACCACGCTTCATCTCGATTTGTTCTCAGAATCCCCTGCCTCGGAATCTCCCAACTGCCTCTGACCCTGTAATTACCACCCGTTTCGTGGAACACATTGCCCGTAGATCTCACCAATCCCGAACGGAACAGTGGTCATCTCCGAAAGGCATCGGTTTAGGGCTTAGGGTAATCCATTTCGGGCTTGGGTTTTAGTTTGGACTCTCGCAACTCGCAGAAAAAGCTTAGGGTATGGGTTGAGGGATTAGAGCTTACGGTCATGGTTTCAGGGTTCAGCGCTTATGGTTCGGGAATCAGATAGTCAGGGTTAAGGGTCTGGGGCAAGTTTAGGGCTCTCAAACCTAGATATTCACATCTCAGACACAAAGCTTTCACGCAGCTTTTCCTTCACCATGCCATGTGCGAACGGCACCTTTCTTCTTCAAATCTTCCCTCAAAGTCTTTCGGGATGTTTTGGCCTATTAAGGGCTTGGTTGGCTTCTCCTGGGACCTTCTTTCTGCAACGTGATGAAACGCTGTAGAAATCTGACCCACCCCTATAAAACCCCTTGCATCGATCCGTCGTTGTATTTCTCTTTGAGGCACTGCTAACAAAGAGCTCCAAGATCCTTCGCAAGCCAATTCGCAAGTCTTATCAGATGAGCTTTGCACGATGCCGATAACTGCAGAGGTTGTCGGACCTCGGGTAGATTCTATACCCTAAACATCCCTAAACCCTATTCAGCCCTATCAAGCCCTCTGAAACCGTCTATTGAAAACCGAAACCCTAGTACAAACCCGAAGCAACTCCTAAACCGTTTGTGGCTCCGATGCATCACTGGACAAGCCAGGTCCAAGTTGTATTCAGTTCCAAGCTTCTCAAGACACCTCGGCTCTGCATC